TGGCTGACTTCTCTTCTGCCCTCTTTCAAATGGGGGAGGCCTTCAGACTCATCCTTGGCTCCCGTACCCCTCCCTGCTCTGCAGTATGAACTCTTTGTAAAAGACCTCACCTATGTGATGGCTTTAGTAATGGGTGACAAGCAAATGACTCCCAAGTTTTGTCTACAGTTCAGGCTTTCATGTGGTCCCCAATTCCTACTCATTTGAAATTTCCTCTGGATTATCACAAAAACTCCTCGGACACCTAAATGCCATCCATGGTGCCTTCCTTTCCCTTATATTTCAACTCTTAACTGTCATGTTCAAGTCATTACCAATGGTAGTAGATTTTAACATCTAAATACTTCTTAACTTTATTTCCTTCCATCTCTGTTATCAGGGCTCTAGTATTATATAGCAGCATGTTTTGGAAAAATGAAAATAAAAATGCTGACCTCTTTTTTACAACTGTAATACTTTAAACAATAAAGATAAAATTTTTTAAAAAGTTGAGATAATTGTAGATTCACATGTATTGTAATAAATAATAGAGACAGATTCTGTGTACCCCTTGTACAATTTATGCCAATGGTAACATCTTGCAAAACTATAGTATAATATCACAATCAGGATATTGACATTGATATATTCTAGATACAGAACATTATCATCACCATAAGGATGCTTCCTATTGTCCTTTTTAAAAAAATGATTTTTAGAGCAATTTTAGGTTCACAGCAAAATTGAACAAAAAGAACAGAAATTTCCCATTATACCACTTTCCCCCACACATGTAAAGTCTCCCCCGTTATCAACATCCACGTACCCCTTACCCAGGAGTAGTATATTTGTTACAATTGATGAACCTACACTGACACATAATGATCATTCGAAGTCCATTGTTTATATTAGGGTTCACTCTTGGTATACATTCCATTGGTTTGGACAAATGTGTAATGACATGAATCCATCTTCATGGTATAACACTGAGTATTTTCATTGCCCTGAAAATCCTCTGTGCTCTACCTATTCATCCTTCCTCCCCAACCTGCTCCAGCAACCACTGATCTTTTTATTGTAAAAATAGTTTTGCCTTTTCCAGAGGGTCATATAGCTGGGATCATGTAACATATAGCTTTTTTAGATTGGCTTCTTTCACTTAGTAATGTTTATTTAAGGTTCCTCTATGTCTTTTCATGACTTGATAGCTCATTTCTTTTTATGAGTAATATTCCATTGTCTGGATGTATCACAGTTTATTCATTCCCCTGCTAAAGGGTATGCTCTTATCAAATGGCCACTTGGCCACACCCTTAATGTTTTCTTCTGACCATAAGTTCTCAGTTTTCACAACATACAGGGGGTCCCAAAAATGTATTACACACTTTAACAGCTGATAGCTCAATTCTGAAAGTGAAATGTATTTTAAGAAACACTGCCTTCATAATTATTCAAAGTGTGTGTATACATTTTTTGGGGGACACCCTATAGATAGAGAATTTTCAAATCCTTAGTTTCTGTTTTCTTTTTGCTTAATCATTTTACCTTTGAGTCATTTCTCTTTTTTCGCATTGTACTATAAGCAGTCGGGAGGAGCCAAGTTGTACCTTCAACATGTTGCTTAGAAAGAGCTTTAGCTAAACATCCAGCTTCATCTCTAGCAAGTTCTGCCTTCCATGAAATACTCGAACATGAACACAGTTCAGCCAAGTTTTTCGACTTTGTAACAAGGATCACCTTTCCTTCAGTTTCCAATAACATATTCCTCATTTCCACCCGAGACCTCATCAAAATGATCTTTACCGTCTATATTTCTACCAACATTCCATTCAGATTGACTCAGGTTATTTTTTAAGAAGACGAAGGCTCTCTCCACGGTGCTTTCTTTTCTTTTTGAGCTCTCACCAGAATTCCCCTTAATGGTTTGTTCATGGCAATGTAGATTTTTTTATTTTGTACCTCAAAACTCTTCTAGTCTCTATGCATTACCCAGTTCTAAAGATGCTTCCACATCTGTAGGTACTTTTTACAGCAGTACCTCTCTTCTCAGTACCATTTCTCAGGTTGCTATAACAGAATAGCATAGGCTGGGTGGCTTAAACAGCAAACATTTATTTCTTACAGTTGTTGAGAATAGGAAGTTCAAGGTCAAGGCATTGCAGATTTGGTGTCTGGTGAAGACCTACTTCCTGGTTCATAGATGGCTGTGTTCTTGCTCCTAATTTCATCTCACTGGGGTTAGGATTTCAATATGTGATTTTTTTTTTTTGGGGGGGGGTTAGGGGTGGGGAACCTATAACATTTCAGTCTACAGCATAATGTAGTATTTTTTTTTAGAAAGTTATTAAAATATATTTAGTAAACACTGTAACAACAAAGGAGGGACCAAATAACTATTTAAAGCACGAATAATCTTACCTTTATTTCTATAAGTCTGATTAGGTGCTCTTTAGTCTAATCATATTCTGGTGGCTTAGCTGTTATTCACTTTCCTGTGATCATTAACTAGTTATCTCTGCTTAAGTTTTTAAAAGTTATATGTCGGTAAAGATGTATTTCATGGTAGGTTTCAAGCTTAAGGAAAAAACAAGCATTTCATCATTAATTAAAAGGAAAATAACCTCTCCCCCCAAATGTAAACTTGTTTAACATGTTACTAATATAAATTTTTGAAAACCTTTCCTTACATTATACCTGTCAACACACATTGATACTTCACATAAGTTCTGCACTCCCCAACTTCCTCTTCCTTTGCAAAAAGGAGAGCAAATATACTACCTGTGTTGGGATACCTTCGCTCAAAAACCCTTCGTCTCTCACTCACAGCTGTATTTCAGATCCCTTTTGGTAGTTTAAGAAACACTAATGCCTTATATATAATATTAATTTTGCTTTTCCCTGTGAACAGGGAAATGAATGTTTAAAATAGTGCATGTGATATCTTTTTAGTAGCATTCATTACCAAATCAAGCAAAAATGTAAATAGGATAAACCTATTTTAGTGTTTTCCTTACAATCCATTTAGCCACAAGTCTACTACATGGAAGCAATCACTTGATTGATTCATTAACAATTTATAACAATTTATTAATTGACATTCTTAAGATATCATGTTAGTCTTAGTAGGAACAATAAAGAAAAAATACAATCTACCAGCTCTGCTCTACCAGTACTGTACTCCTTTCTATGGTGATGGTGGAAATGCTCTCCATTATCAAATTACCAAATACGACAGCCACTGGCCATGTGTGGCTATTGAATGATTGACATGTAGCTAGTGTGTCTGTGGAGTTGAACCATTAATTTAATTTTTCTTATTGACAGTTTCATTGGGAAATAATTCACATACTACATAAGTTCACCCATGTAAGTTATAGAATTCAATGGTTTTTAGTGTATTCACAGAGTTGAGCCGCCATTACCACAGTCAATATTACTACTTTCCATCACCTCAACAAGAAACCCAATGTTAATTAGCAGTAGCTCCCCAAATTTTTACAACTTCCTTAGACCTAGGTAGCCATTAATCTGCCTCCACAGATACGACTCTTTGGATTTTTCATGTAAATGGAATCACATATATAAAATTTTGTGACTAATCTAATTTTAGTTTATTTAAATTCAATTGCCACATGTGGCTAGTGGCTACCATAAGAAGCAAGTGAACTAAAAGACCAAGTAAAGATGCTTAAGAAATGCTGAAGGCTGAGGAGAAGATACCCCTGCAAGACAAGTAAGAGAGATTGAAGATGAACCTAGACGGAGCTTAGAGACGACAGGTTTCTGGAAGATGGGATAATCTGTTAATAACAGTACTAAATAATAAAGAGGGGTCAGCGTGGTGAAGAAGGGCAGGCAGGTGGCACTTTCATACCATTTAGAGATGGAGGGAAGATCATTTGAGAGGGATGACAGGATTGATGGAAATTTTGTTTTGTTGCTGTTAATATTTTTAGTAGGCATTAGCCTATAAGTAGGCAGTAGACAATTTTGTTTTGTTGCTGTCAATATTTTCAGTGTAGACATGAGCCTATAAGTAGGCAGTTGACAAGGATCCAGTGGAAGTAAAGAGATGCAAGGTGTTTGAGCAGGGTTCTGGAAGATGTTAGTTAAAGCAGCACCAAGGTCATTAGCATGGGAGTAAGCCCTGCTAAGAAAGATAGAGGCAGGAGTGAGAGAAGAAAAAGTAGGCAAAGATACAGAGCAATTTTTACATAGAAAAGAAGGAAACTAAAGGAATGTATTTATTTAAGGAAAGTGGGAAGAAATCTTTCTGAGGGTAAAGTTTGGTTACTCCAAACTCTACTGTGATCAAATGTGGAGAAGAAGGTGCTGAGTTCTCCAGAGAGGCTAGGATTATGGGACATGGGAATGTTGATTACTTATCGGTATTGCTGTCTAAATGTCTGTCTCTCCAAAAAGGGACAGACATTTTCAGGTAGATAAGCCACAGGAAGTCCAGGATCCAGATATGCCCATTTTCACTTACTAAAGAGTAAAAACTGTGCACAAGTTTGCATCTGAGGTTTTCAAAGATGAAATGTAGCTGCATCAGTGCACTCGTCCACCCTCTTTCCCTTCCTTCTTTCCTTCCTTCTGCTTTCTTTTTCCCATCTATTCATTTATTTTGTAGAAAACAATGTATCCTCTTGTTCTGTCCTACAAGAAAAAAGTGGAAACAAAACACAAAACTTTGGGAAAATTCAACATTATTCGTGTTGTAATGAATACAGAATTTCACATTATGAGCTGTAATAAAATTCCCGTATTTTCTTCATTTTCTTAAGTTATTTCCCCCTCCCATGTTATAACACCGGAAGAGCCAGAAAGTGCTTTGAAAATCCCAAATGAAAGCCACTATGCAAATAGAAGTGGAAAATATACTAATTTGTTGATACTGGCTTAATAACATTGCTTTAGAACAAGCTTTTTTTATATAGAAGTTTTAGAAATTAAAGCCAACTTTTGTGGTATTCTCAGTATATAAAATTATATACTTATGTATGTATTTTTTATTTTAGGCTTTTAAAACCAAGGATGGCTATCTTGTAGTTGGAGCAGGAAATAACCAACAGTTTGCTACCGTGTGCAAGGTAACTTGTAACCTTTGGGGTGGGTGGATGACATATGCAACAACTCATGTAGTAAAAAGCCAGGAAGGTTTAATTTTGCCTAGAACAGTGTTGCTAAGTCTATAAGCAACTCAAGAACCTCCTGTGTTAAGACTTAAGTTAAAGTACGCCATTTTCATGCTTATAAATGCCAAGTACAGGGTCTGAATCAGCACTCTCACTGTTTTATTATTTTTTTCCTGAGGTATGGGGCTGTATTTTGAAATGAAGAATGATAGTACCTTAAATTATTCTAAAACCTGACCTGTCTGCCAGTCCAAACAAAAGGAAACAAACAATAACAATAACAAAATTAAAGGGAATCTTTAACACTTGTTTTTTTCCTCCCTCCCTCTTTTTTTCTTCCTTTCCCTTTTTTCTTCTACAACGTGGGCCTAACTAGGCCCAAATATAATCTTCTACCAAATTTATTTTATTTATCACCAGAAAATTTTGTAAGAATTTGAAGTATTTTAATGATTACCTTTCTGCAAAATTTGTTTTAAGATTTTAGCATCCAGTTTTATAAAAAATGTTGCTCCTCATAAGGCCTTAAAAGTGGCCTTGGATTCATAAAATAATTTTATGTTGAAGATACTCTTTTTTTTTATTAAAAATATTTTTTTATTGATTTTAAAGAGGAAGGGAGAGGGAGAAAGAGATAGAAACATCAATGATGAGAGAGAATTATCAATTGGCTGCCATGCCGTGACCAGGAATCAAACCATGACCTCTGGTTCATAGGTCAGTGCTCAACCACTGAGCCACACCAGGCGGCCTGAAGATACTCTTATTTTTTAGCAGTGCTTAGGAATTTTAAAAAAAATTAATGTTTTGCATTTATCTAGGCTCTCCTTGGTCCTTTTTTTTTTTTTTTTTTAATTTAAGGCCTTAGATTTCAGTTTACTTTTTCCAGTTGTAATGCCATAAATATAATCTAGTTCTTTAAAACAAAATGCATGTGTTTTTTTCTTGCTTATAGGCAAAGGCCTCAATTACTGAGGAACTGAGGATGTTTTTCCTGATTCGGACTTTTTTTTTTTTTTTACTAACTATAGTACCATGAGCTTTCAGTTTTATTAAAGATGCCTATGAGTTCCTTATAGGAACCTTATTTATTGTGGTTAACTTATTATGTACAAAACTTATTTATTACTGTGCCTCTTTCGAATGAGAGGTTAACGAGCAGAGCTAAAAACCACAGCAAAGGGGTGGGAAGTACCACAGAGAAGGTGACAAATGGAGATAGTTCTGATTGGAGCAAGGGCTGGAACATATGAGGTGGGGACGAGGGGGGCTTTTATAATGGTTTCTCTGAATAAGCGTAGAGAAAATTGATTCATACATTTGATCTGGGATCAAAGAATCTTTATTGTGAACGGTCAATGTTAAAAATATGAAACATACGGAAGCTGTTGCCTATGAAGTCATTTGTGTACTCTAGCTCCAGAGATGTAAAAGCCAGTTCATTGCTATAAATGAGTACAGATTGTCTTCCTGGGCCATATGTTTTGGAGTTTTCTCTCTCCAGAAAAGGTGGGGGAGGAGAGGAGAGAAATTACTGGTTGACATATTCTTTACTGTTGAAAATAACTGTACTGAATTCTTTTTATTTTTGATTCATTATTGCTGATTAATTTGAAACTTTTGAACTTCCTCATAAATATCCGTAAGAACATTTATTGGAAAAGATTTTTATTTCAAAGCAGGATATTTTCCATAAATTATAGTACTAAAATATGAGTTATTGTTGAGTGTTATGACACATTGTTTAAAAAAAAGACTACCAGAGGGCTTTGGGGAGTGGCATACTGACCTTGTTTTTTCCATATGTGCGTCAGGAATGATAATTCCTATTTTGAGCCATTAAGACAGTATCTATAAAATTCTGATATATTCAGAAAAAATTGTATAAAAGATTTTAATGTTATTTACATCATTTACTAGGCATATTGAGCAAACATTGCAATCTGATTGGCTTTTTCAAACTTCCTAATTATATCCTTACATGTAAACTTGTTTTAAAAAGACCTTTTCACCTAAGAAGTATCACCTATGTCCTTATTTACTTTATTATTTAAAAAAAATCTTCACTCAAGGATTTTTTTTTTTCTTTCTTAGAGGGAGAGGAAGGGAGAGGGAGTGAGAGAGAAAGAAACATCGCTATGAGAGAGAAACATCAATTTGTTGCCTCCTGTATGTGCCCCAACCAGGGATCAAACCCGAAGCCTGGGTATGTGCTTTGACAGGGAATCGAACCTGTGACCCTTGGGTGCATGGGCTGATGCTCCAACCAGCTGAGCCACACTGGTCAGGACACTGGTGTCCTTACTTTGATGCAAGATTTCCCCCCTCCCAACTGTAGTGGGTGAGTTTCTTCTAAGTATTTTTTTATTCAGATATATCTCATACTGAGAGGCTTGCTATTCAAGCTGGCTTTATAGAAGATGAGATCCCCAGTTTTTGACAGTGAGCCCATCAAGATTGTTCTTTTGCCAAGTAAGATCCACTTTGAAATATATGGCCACTCTACTTCCCTACCTCCTGGGGAGAAATGTAGCAATATTGTCTGCCACAAATGAGTAGAATTCACTTAGGCCTAATCTCTTCCCAAAATAAAATTTGATATACTGCTTAACTAACACTTTTTGGGGAGGTTCCTGTTAGGGAGCTCTTATTGTCAGGGATTAGAGAGGGCAAGAACATTGGGTTCAAAGCTTGGAGTTGAGAATATCTTCCTACATATAAAGTGAACCTTGCTTTATAAAAAAATCCTACTTTATGGCCCTTAACATGATACAGAAGAGTGGAGAATGTGAGCATATGTAAGATATTTCAAGCTGATTAATGCCAAATCTAATGGGTATTCCTATTTGAAGTATATTGACATCCTTTTAAAAGTTATTTGTACTTAAAGTTTAAAGTTTCTTTTATTGGAGGCAATATGCATTGGCTCCCAACGTCAGCATGCATAGCAAATGTCCATTCCCAAAGATTTTGACTTAGTATGTCTGAGATGGGGCACAGGAAGGGATCACTGAAGGGCCCACACACAGACTTGTCTAACCTGGGCACAGAGAAAAAACCGGTTTAAAGGGCACCTATATATATGGGAAGTAAATTCATTTACTAGCCCTAGAGCAGCGGTTCTCAACCTGTGGGTCGCGACCCCTTTGGCGGTCGAACAACCCTTTCACAGGGGTCGCCTAAGACCATCCTGCATATCAGATATTTTCATTACGATTCATAACAGTAGCAACATTACAGTTATGAAGTAGCAATGAAAATAATTTTATGGTTGGGTCACCACATGAGGAACTGTATTTAAAGGGCCAGAAGGTTGAGAACCACCCCCCTAGAGCATTTGCCAAGCATGTGGGCAACTGTGGGAACTCTCTCTGATGTCAGAGACACAGAAGAGCACCATTTGTTTTGCTGCCACTCCACCTTGATTTCATGAGCACAAACACAATCCAGAAGTCCTAGGCAGCTGGCCAAGGCCATCCCTGTCTGCCCCAGACCCCATGCCCACACCAGCTCTGTGGCTGGCCCCTGGACTCCCCATGGTGCATGCCTCCTTTAACTACAGCTCCAGCCGCGTGCAGTGCTGTTTGTCCCCTGGACTTACCGAAGCCTCAGCCTGCTCCAACTACAGCTCCACCTGACCTGCCAAAGTGGCCTTGGCTCTGCTTGCCTGCTGGGACTGCCGGTAACCTGTGCCGGCCCCAACTAAAGACCCAGCCAGCCTGCCAAGGCAGCCCAGGTGAGGCTTGCCTCTGGGTCTCCCTATAGCCCTCACTTTCTCCAGCTCCAGCTTCACCTGGCCTGCCGGACACCTGGTACGCATAGTTTGCAAAGGGGACGCTCTTACATAAGGCCACTTCTTCATTACCAGAGGAGGTAATGCTGTTTTGTCTAATTCAAAGAAACGTAGCCTAAATGAAGAGACAGAGAAACATGTTCCAAATGAAAGAACAGGACAAAAACCCAGAAGAAGGACTAAATCAAATGGAGATAAGAAATCTACCAAGTAAAGAGTTCAAAACATTGATTATAAAAATGCTCAACAAACTTAGGAAAAGAATAGATGAACTTAGTGAGTACTTCAACAAAGAGAAAGAAAATAAAAAGAACCAATAAGGACTGAAGAATATAATAATTGAAATGAAAAACACACTAGAGGGAATCAATAGATTAGATTCCACATATAAGTGAGACCATATGATACTTTTCTTTCTCTTACTGGCTTATTTCGATAAGCATAATACTCTCCAGATCCCTCCATGCGGTCTCAAAGGGTCAGTGATTCTTCTTTTTTACAGTTGCATAGTATTCCATTGTGTACCATGGTTTTTTAGTCCATTCATCTACTCGATCTCACTTATATGTGGTACCTAACGAACAAAATAAACTGATGAACAAAATAGATCCAGAGACAATGATGTGTGCAACAGACCGATGTATTTCAGAGAGAGGGGAGGTGGGAAGAGATTAACCAATGAACTTATATGCATATATGCATAACCCATGAACAGACAGTAGTGTGGGGAAGGCCTAGGGAGAGGGTAAGAGAGGGGTGAAGAGGGTATGGCGGGGAGGACATCTTACAAAAAAGATAAATTGTAAAATATAGTAGATTAGATGATGCATAAGACTGAATCAGTAACCTGGAAAACAAGGTAGTGGAAATCACAAAATCAGAAAAGCAAAAATTAAAAGAGATAGTTTATGGTACCTTAGGGATAATATCAAAGAAGCATTTAGACATTTACATCATAGGGATACCAAAAGTGGAAGACAGAAAGGGACAGAAAAATGTATCTGAAGTGATAATGTCTGAAAACTCCCCTAACCTGGAGTAGGACTAAGCATTCAAGTCCAGGAAGCACAGAGAGTCCCAAACAAGGTGAATCAAAAGAGGTCCACACCAAAACACATAATAATTAAAATTTAAAGATAAAGAGAGAATCTTAAAGATAATT